TTGGCTTTTGATTGGTTGGTTGTTGGTTTTTTCCCCCTTAGCCTGCACAACAGCTAATAATGATAATGGCCAGTCTTCGCGAGCGAAGATCCGGGGAAGGTCTTTCCACCTTCCAGCCTGCGCATTGGATTTTTTAGGTGAGACACAGTGTGCGCGGAACTGAGCCCACCCTTTAATCCTAAGGTTCATCTGCCGGGGCCAAGCGAGCTTGGACGGTGGCAGCGAGGTCCTTAGGACGTAGGTGGGTTGCCTTTAAGGGCTAACGAGCCCCACCTGCCCGGGAGTGGCCCTGACCGGGAATCGAACCCGGGTCTCCGCGGTGACAGCGCGGCGCCTTTACCCCCTAGACCACCAGGGGCTCCGCACAACAGCTACAGTATAAATAAATGGCAGTCAAAAAATACAAACTAGCAGTTAATAGAAGAGACACTAGAAGCATTCAGAACCCAGGCTGGTTTTAGCAACCGCCAGAGCGAGGTGCTTATCACCCCGCTGTGGTATCATCCATCAGATTCATCTTCCTCGTGTGAGGATTAACGAAATGAAAATGAGTCGGGAAGCGACGGGTGAAGGGGCGGGGGTGGGGAAGCGGTGGCAGAGAAGGTAACCAGAGGGAGATAGAGAGGAAGGGAGGAAGGGGGAGGTGGAAGAGGGAGGTGAGCTGCTTCCCGGACAGGATTGGTCAGAAATTGCTGCAGCCCAGGCGGGGGGTAACTGGGCTCCCCCACCCCCGCCCCGCTTCCCTGCTGGGCACCAGAGATGAACCGGAATGCCCCAGACAGATCAGCCCTCCCCTTGACTCAGCTGTGCCACGGTAATGATAAGGATTTCAGAAGATGCAAAGACACATGAGGAATTAGCGAGGGTTTACGGCAATCTGTTTTTCTGTTACTATTAGATACACGCAGAGTATTCATTGTGACCTGCAGACGAACGCAGTTTTCTGCTGCGTTTCCATAGCTGTAGTTCAGTTGGTTTCCAGACTTTCAAACAAACCTCCTGAGCGTCAGGAATACCTCCAAAATAATGTGAATGGAGACTAGTGAATTTCTTTCATGTTTACCAAAATCTAAGTCGATCCTGTACTACATATTTGAGAGAAATGCACAATACCTTTTTCTTTAAAAAGTGTATTTGGTGTCTAAGCAGGTCTGTTGTCAAGTGTTTATGAAAAATAAATTGGTAATAGTATTATTCAAATGGTTTCTATAACATTACAATAGATTTGTAGGATATTCCTGCTTTACTGTACTTTGATGTGCTATGCAAATTTACAGAAGGTACTAAAAAACCTAAAAGTTTGAGTCGAGGAATTTGAGAGTAATTCAATAAAAGACCTATAAAAGTTGAACCTTTGCACAGACTATGTGATGTAAATGTTCAAATAAGTTTTACAAGGAGGAGCCTACAGAATCACGGGGATAGCACTGGTACCAGACAATTAATTCCATTCACGTGTTGGCCTACGTAAATACTCTAGTTTGCCTACACTGTAGATAAATTTGCTAGCCTAAAGAAAATTCTCCTGAGGGAAAAAAAAAATTAAAATCACATCTTTCTCTAAGACTTTGGAAGACTACTTACTACCAAAGGAGCTTGAACAATATTTCAATTCTGTTCTCAATCAGGGCACTAGGGAAAAACTAAGCATAGACAGTCTTTTTCAAATACAAACAAACAAACAAATCAAACACGGCAAAACCCAAATCAAAACAATGTGAATAAGACTTTTTGAAGGAAAAGATTTTTTCTCACACTGTATTTTTACTATGAAAAAGCCTAAAAGTGAATGTTCTTCTATTACTTTATTTTTTTAAAACTTGTTTCTTCGCATATTCAGGAATCTTTCTGCAACTGAGCATAGTTTTATTTTTCTTTTCTTTTTTTTTTCTAATATTGTCTTGCGTATTATCTTTTAGTACTTTAAAAAAACAGAGAGCTGTTTTTTAGTAACTACAGGTTGAATAATATTCTTGGGAGCAAGTCATCTGACAGATTGCACGATCTATGCTACAGTTAGTACTTTAAAGCATCAGCACATATTTTATGTGAACTTAAAATTCAAAGGTAACTTAGAGTCATTGTATGTCATTTAATACATATTTTGTGACCACCAGCATCTGTGCTGCACTGTTCTTAAATCTAAAGCCTTTCCCCTTTTTGAGAATTTAAGTTGGCTGGAGAGTTGAAATGAAATTTGTTAAGGGAAATTTTGCATCTGCAATGAAATAAAATATTGTGGTTTTCAAGAAAACGCTTTTAACTCTCATCTGTCACATAAGCAAATAGGTAATATAATGCATTTCTGTCTTCTATTTCAATATATAAATGCCTGTTCTCTAACTATGGTATGCAGACAGAATATGTTCATTTATAACAAGCGCAGTTACCTGAGGTAGAAGAACAAGTTGCCTTTCTACATTAAATATGATGACTGGTCAGGAGAAACAGGTATATGCAGTAATTGTAGGAAACCATTCCAGGCTTTATTTAGCTGAGGAAAAAGAGGATTTAGTATACAGAACTCATCAGTTTTCCTCTGCTAATAGAAACATACTTAAACCCATCATGAAAATCCTGTTGGTGGCATACAGAGACCATTGTTTATAAATTTCTGTATAAGGAAGGAAACCGAAAAAGGAAGAAAAAGGAAGATAAGGAAGAAAACTTGTAGGCACCATCTGAAGGGGGAAACATGCCTGGAAAATTCAGAGAAGGAAATGGTGAACTTCATGAATAACAATACTGAGTCTAACTAGTTTTTAATGAGGAACATAATAGAGAAACAGTGCAAAGACTTTAGACTGGATTCCAATCTACTCACATCTTATTTGAAAACTGTTAGAATACTTGTGTTTTCAAATGATTTTTCAAACATCAGAGGGAAAAAACCAAACAACAAAAGAAAACCAAAACAGACACCTCTTTTCCAGTTTCCAAGAGAAGAACAGACATACTAAAGTGCCTAACAAGGAAGTATGAGCATTGCTTTTGAAAAGAAATGCTCCATCCTCATACTGGGTCTTCAAGGGCAAAAATGAAACTTGGGAGGCCTCTGTTTCAGGATTTTCAAATGGCCCAATCAGAACCTTATACAAATCAATTCCCTGCTTTAGACTCACGTAATCTCTTCCTCCCATAATAAATATACACCAATAGAAGGCTCTTTTGCCATATATGCTAAATACAGAAAATTTGAGATTAATAAACAAACAAACAAAAAAATCCTAAGTGTTTTAAACCTAATTCTAGTCTCAAATTTCAGCATGGTTACTAGTAAAGTTCTGCAGTTAATGTTGTTTCAAAGTCCAACTCTGAATGGTAGGTGATTAATACCTAATGCACTTTCTTTCAACAAGACAGAAATTATAGGAAAAAAAAAAAAAGACAAGTCCTCAATTTCGAGAAATAAAAAGATAAACCAAAATAACAAACGAAAACCCCACCACACACACACAAAAATAACAGCTAAGAAAAAAAAAATCCCAAACCAAGACGAAAATTTACAGGAATCTTGTACCGTTTGATAGCAGTCCGCCCTTTCTCATCTTGTTTCCAAGCAAGATTTCAGCTGGACACTCCCGCGTTATCTCCCTTTGCTTGAAAAACATTTTCCATTATCACAATAGCGCAGTGACTCACTTCTCTGCCTCTCGGGCAGAACACTGGGGTTAAAAAAAACAAAACCCAAAACACCACCCAACCAACAGCAACAGAAACAAACAACTGCGGAGGTTTCCTTTGTTAGTTCTCAAGGACGGTTTTAAAGAACAAAGAAAACACCCTCCCCAGCTCTCAGAAAGCCTCATTCTGAGGCTCCCGGCTCCCGGCGTTGCATTCCTGCTTCCCCTTCGGGCAGATTTTTTTCTTCCGGATTAAACACTACGGAATGAAAAAGAAGTAAAAGCCTCTTTTACCCACATCTGCCTAACAAAGGTGATAAGCGGTGTTCTTTACAGTATAAGAAAAGAAAATAAAAGAAAAAAGAGAAATAAAATTTTCGTATTCAGAGGAAACAGAGAGAAGCTGTCGCTGTGCCCCAGCAGGGCGGACTCCCCGAGGCACCAATGGCGGACAGGCTCCTCCCTGAAAATACCGATCTCTCGCGTAGTATCTTGATTTATATGCCCCCGACACCCCGGGATCCTCAAGCCAGATGCGGCGACTTCAAAGCCCGGGACCCCCGCATCATCAAAGCCGTGTCCCCCTCCGTGGAGAACAAGGGACTCCCGCAGTCAAGCAGGCCAAGGCAGTCGTAGGGGGCCCCAAAGGCTTTGAAGTCCAAAAGGGTGGCACCGAGGAGCTCGGCCAAACCGAAAGCGGCAGTACCCAGGAGTCCGCACCGTATAAGTAAAGGAAACTTTTGCAGAAAAACCGCCAAAAGCACTTTTGAACACCACCCACACTGTCAGGATGACAGAGAAAGAACTGAAACATCAGTTCAAGTCAGGACATGATGACCCCCTTCCCTGTGTATGTGAGTTTCTATAGTGCTTCTACTGAACTCACACTCGAGCCTATTTTGCTTTAACTCCATTACAGTAGTCACCATCATCATGTATCACTTATACAGAATACCTGACGCTGCCCTTTGGAAACTGTCCTGGACAGTATTCCAGGGAAGTACTTACCATTTTCTTACTATCCCCTAAAAGCCCTAAATTGCAAACAAGAAAAAAAAAAAAAAAAAAAAAAAGAACCTCAGAAGGCAGAAAATTACAGCAACCACTACGCACAAAGCACCCGGACACCTTTTCCCCCACAACACAGGGACAGCAGCAGCTCACCGGGAGGGGGTCCAATCCCTCCCTAGTTTGAAAACCGCGCGTTCCAGTCGGATTGGCAAAGGGCGGCCCCGTCCCCGCCCCATCCTACCCCCACCGACCTTAATGGTGCTTCCCACCCACTGAATCCATGGGGAGGCACGCAGCGAGTACACCCTTGCCCAGTTTACATCTCTCAAACCATACTGCGGTGACCGATTTCAATCGCAACAGCTACATTTTATTGATTGTTTTTTTCCAAAAGGGAAAGAGGCATGTTTACATAAGAACAGGGATGTCTTAGAGAAAGAAAAATGTTGGGAACTACACTGATCAGCAAGTTAAAAGTTGAAAATACACAGAATTTTTTTACTTTAGAAAGCTTTCTTTGAAAATTTTGAAAGTTTTCAAATATATCAAATAGCATGTGTTTGTAGGGTTAAGCGTTCCTGCTCTTTCTGGGAAGATGTGGGTGGCTCTGAAAAGAGCCTTTGGATTATTTTATCTGGAGAACTTTACTTGGCTTTGGCCTTGTGGCTGTCGGTCTTCTTGGGCAGCAGCACGGCCTGGATGTTGGGCAGCACGCCGCCCTGCGCGATCGTCACCTTGCCCAGCAGCTTGTTGAGCTCCTCGTCGTTGCGGATGGCGAGCTGCAGGTGGCGGGGGATGATGCGCGTCTTCTTGTTGTCGCGGGCCGCGTTGCCCGCCAGCTCCAGGATCTCGGCCGTCAGGTACTCCAGCACGGCCGCCAGGTACACGGGCGCGCCGGCGCCCACCCGCTCGGCGTAGTTGCCCTTGCGCAGCAGGCGGTGCACGCGGCCCACGGGGAACTGCAGCCCGGCCCGCGACGAGCGCGACTTGGCCTTGGCCCGCGCCTTCCCGCCCTGCTTCCCGCGCCCGGACATGCCTCAAGGAAAAAAAAAAATCAAAACAAAAACCTACAAAAGTACAAAGCAAAGTAAAATAAAACCGTACGGAACACCTCGGTAAGCCGCGGAAATGGAGTAAATGCGGCAAAAAGTGCCACTCGGCGTTTTTATACCTTCCTTCTGGGGTTCGGTGGGACTTCTGATTGGCGGAGGCTGGGATTGTGGAGTTTACCAATGGGAATGCAGATGAAAGAGCGACCAATCGAAGATGCTCGATGGTTTGACATCACGGCGCCGGATTGTCCAATAGGTAAGAGCAGCGTTGAGTCATCTCATTTGCATACCGTCCCTATAAATACGGGCGTCGCCGCCTTTGTATTTACGTCGTTCCTGCGGTGGACAGGTAGTGACAGATCCGTAAAATGCCGGAACCAGCTAAATCCGCTCCCGCTCCGAAGAAGGGCTCAAAGAAAGCCGTCACCAAGACCCAAAAGAAAGGTGACAAGAAGCGTAGAAAGACTAGGAAAGAGAGCTACTCCATCTACGTGTACAAGGTGCTGAAGCAGGTGCACCCCGACACGGGCATCTCGTCCAAGGCCATGGGCATCATGAACTCCTTCGTCAACGACATCTTCGAGCGCATCGCCGGCGAGGCGTCGCGCCTGGCGCACTACAACAAGCGCTCCACCATCACGTCGCGGGAGATCCAGACGGCCGTGCGGCTGCTGCTGCCCGGCGAGCTGGCCAAGCACGCCGTGTCCGAGGGCACCAAGGCTGTCACCAAGTACACCAGCTCCAAGTAGGGCGTCTCGGACCGTCACTTTCAACCCAAAGGCTCTTTTAAGAGCCACCCATATATTCAGTAAAAGAGTCTGTCACACTTATTTTCGGTGAGTTGTACTTGTATTTAGCACTGGTTTAGTTGCCAGACTAGGACGTGCTGTTTAAGAGTAGGAAAAAATGTTTTTCCTGTTTACCGGGGAAGATTTGGGTCGTCTTGTGAGTGTTCTATTCTGACAGGCTATCTGCCAGGTCTATAAACGGAATGCTAAGCGCTTAATCGAGTTTTAAAGCTATTAAAGTTATCCTTTTAGAGTATTTATATATGTTCCAATTACTTACAATGACAGTCTTGTCTCAACTGCAATTTACTCTTTTTTTTTTCCTAATAAAATACGTTGTCCCCTTTAAATATTAGATGTCACTCTCAAGTGACTTGGCTGCAAGCCAAAGCGGCTTGTTTACTCAGGACAGTCTCTAGGGATTAGTCTGTGATATTTGCAAGGCAATGTTTAATGAACTCTGCCGCCAAACACGGCAGAAGTAAAGCGGTATGGAGAGCGGTATAATTCACTAGTTTCCTCATGATTTCATAAGGCAGTGCTGTACCGTTATTATCTCCGACTGAGTGTTAAGCGCCGAAGAATTAAGAGGTTTCTTCAAGTGACAACATAATAGGAAATTATAAGTTAAAATAAGGGACACTTAAAAAAATAAATAATCACCAAAAAATATCGCAAAACTGAGCCTTTTATCGCACTTGAGGATGCTCGCGTTGCAGAGGGAAGGTTGTTTTTAAGAAAACGCCTTTCATGGGGGCGCTTGAATCCTGGTTGTCCGGAGCAGAGGCCGCGACAAAAGCGTTTGCTGCGGGGTAAAAACTCCGCGTCCGCTGCTGGGTTACAAGCTGTGGCATCGCGTCCGGCCGGCCCCTGCCCCGCTCCGCCGGGCGGAGCAGCGGGAGATGAGAGGAGGGAGCGCGGCCGCTTCCATGAAGGGAGGGAGGGAATTGCGGAGCGGGGATCGGGAGCTGCTCCCGCCCGTCCGTCCCCCCCACACCCCCCCGCGCGGGCTTTTCGAATCCTTCCCACTGCCCAATGGCAGCCAGGGCTGCCTTCGCGCTGGCCAATCACAGAGCGGGGATGGCTATAAACGGCGTTCCCCGCGGCTGCCTCCTGCACAGGGTCTGCTCTCTCGGCTGCCGGGGCTTTGTCTGTGGAGCGATGGCGCGCACGAAGCAGACGGCGCGTAAGTCGACGGGCGGGAAGGCGCCCCGCAAGCAGCTGGCCACCAAGGCGGCCCGCAAGAGCGCGCCGGCCACGGGCGGCGTGAAGAAGCCGCACCGCTACCGGCCCGGCACGGTGGCGCTGCGCGAGATCCGGCGCTACCAGAAGTCGACGGAGCTGCTGATCCGCAAGCTGCCCTTCCAGCGCCTGGTGCGCGAGATCGCGCAGGACTTCAAGACCGACCTGCGCTTCCAGAGCTCGGCCGTCATGGCGCTGCAGGAGGCCAGCGAGGCCTACCTGGTGGGGCTCTTCGAGGACACCAACCTGTGTGCCATCCACGCCAAGCGCGTCACCATCATGCCCAAGGACATCCAGCTCGCCCGCCGCATCCGCGGAGAGCGTGCTTAAGCTTCAACAAGCGGATCTTAAAGACCATCGATAACCCAAAGGCTCTTTTAAGAGCCACCACATGGCCACTAAAAAGAGCTGCAAACTCTTAGTCACGCATAGGAAGTAGTGTGTGTGTTTCGTGTGGCTTTACGTTAAGCGAGATCTGAAACCCCAGGTAAGTACTAAACAGAATTATGATTCAAAGGAGTTAATTCATGACTGTAGGTTTAAGCAGTATAGTGTGGTTAATTCCTGATGAGGTGATTGTGCTATGACAAATACTCTTTCAGGGTGGAAATTGTTTTCTACACGTTTTTCCAGATAACTTATGTTTTGGCTGTTAAAGAAAATGTTTCAATCACTGGCTTTCCTTTTCTGAAGGAGAAGATGCCCAGTTAAAATATGTATTTTTTAATCAGTTCAGCTGCGTGCCCATAAAGCTTTAGTACAAACTGCCTGAATTCATAAAGGGGTGGACCTTTACAGGATTCCACTATCACGGTTAGAGAATTTTAATTTATTGTAAATGCTTTCTCCTGTGCTACGTACACTTTATGTTCTCATGGTAATGTTACAGCTAGTTTTCCTTTCCAAACTTTTTTTATTATTATTATTTTTTGGAGGACTCTGAGGGCTTGTTTTGTTTCTGAAGCTACAAGAAGTCCTTTCCCGCCTTTCCTGGAAGGGCGCTTGGTCAGTAGTTTTCCCAGTGTCCCGCGGGCATTTTCAGCCCTTCTCAAGCAACCACATTTATTCCGAGATGTATTTCCAAATGTATTTCCAAAAAGCTGGGGGCAGGGCCAAGGCAAGGGTATTTTCTGCGAGTCACGTTTTATGAGTTGTGCTTTCTCCTGGTATCTTCTCTAGGACACACTCGTGGCATCCTTAATGCATCTCAGTATCCTGTATGAATTATTAGAGATGTCAGTTTAGATCAATTTTCTCCATCACTGCTAAGGCTCCCGCAAAGATTTTCTGAAGTTTCCACAGAGGAAGTGTTTTCCAAGGAGTATCTGTGGCTAAAAACTTGTTGAGTCCAAAATTATTTTTAAATAGAGACTCTTCCCTCTCTGTATAAGTGATTTTTGTGACCCTATCTGGAAAACAGATTTTCCCCTGATTGTAAATTCAGTTGCCCATCCCCTTGCTCTCCACGGATCTGCAATTGCTGACGGAAAAACGTTTCCAAAATAATTTCTGAGTTTAGTTCGCCTTTCTTTTTGGTGTGTTGTTTTTTGTTGTTTTTTTTTTTTTTTTTGGTGGGGTTTTTTGTTTGGTTGGTTTGGGGTTTTTTGTTTTGTTTTTGTTTTGTTTGCTGTTTTGGTTGGTTTGTCTGTTTTAATACTGCAGGTCGTTTTATATAATTTAGGGAGCTTCCTGTTTCATTGAATTACTGGAAATAATGCCCTTTTCTCTGCTACAAATGAGTATCTGTGCCTTTAAGAAGCGGTTGGATTGAGTTGAACACAGCCTTCATTTAAACTCGGAAACAAAGAGTCCCCGAGAACTGCTTAGAGGAAATATTTCTCTTGAAAGCCCTAAAAACTGCAAGACTTTTAGTTCTCTCTTAACTGCTTATACGCTTCATGTTATTAATTTTCCTCTCTCTGTGTCAGGAACTTGGACTCTGCAGCAAAATCTGACCAATCAAGTACCTCGACACACCATTTTCTTTCTTCCTGTTTTCTCACTTTCAGCCATTTTCTGTTACTTAACCTCGGAGGGATAAAAGGGAGGGGGGAAGGTATAGGGAATAGTGTTTTGGGAATTAAGAAGTCTCTACTCTGATTTATTCATCCCACCACATTTGCTCTTCGACACAGGACTTCTGTTTTTCACAACAGATTTTTTTTTTCTTTGAGTAAAATACCAGTGGGATTGCAGCAGTGAGTCTTAGTGAAAACAAACTCATTCCTGTTACTGTCCATCATAGACAAAGATCTATTTATTTTTCTGAACCTGTTTATATATGCTTATAATAAAAAATCTAATAAAGCAAGTAAAAGTAAGCCAGTGGTCACAATACTTACATTTCAGCAGACATTTGGGTCAAAAATTATGTGCTTTTTTTTTTTTCCACGTTCAAGATATAAATTATTTTTGAGGAGTAAGATGGGGAAACAGGTTTTATTTTCCTTAATCTCTCTCGTTTTTCATCTAGTCTTTTTGAGATCTCAGACTGTTTCAATAAATAAGGTATTATTAGGACTCATTCAGAGAGTTGCATGCTTGAATTGTAAAAAACACTAAACACTCCCATCAGCTGAGAAAAAAACAGATGTGCAGTGATCCAGTGATCTTTTTTTCAGGAAGGGAGAGCTCATATAAACCCTAAATTATAAAGTCTAAGTCTGAAGTAGTTTTGTACTGTATTACAAAGGGGTGTAATTCACACATAGGTGACTTAGTGCAAGACACAAAGTGAGAACAAAAGTGGAAGTTCCTCTTGTGCCAGCAAGGTTTAGCTGCATTTCCATGCTTTTTTCAGGAGAACCTGAGATAAATGGAGGCTGCCCAGTAGAAGCTGGATGTGAGCAAGGCCTGTGTGCTGACCAGCCGGGCATTGACTTGCAAATTGCTGTTGTTATTCAGGTAAGCTGCTTTTACAGGTGATCCTGGATGCTCAGCAACCTACTTGGCTAAGACTGTTCCGGGCTCTTTAGCCATCCTCCATGGATGAACTGACTCAAATTCAAATCACTGCTTGGAAAAATGTACTTC